TTATAAGTCTGACGTTCACAATGCATGTTATTTCTGCCCATTTTGCGTGAAATCTGGCTTTTCTGTTTGAGCTATCCTTGTTTTGGGTACGCCCACCACCCGGCTGCCCCATGCGCGCACCAGATTCCACCACAACAACACACCTGCGGCGGTGCTGAGAGGCTAGTCACTCGCCACGCATCTTCGAAGGACCATGGCCAATAAACGGGCTTGGTGGTCGGAAACGACGAGATGATTTATGGACATACTTTCAGTATAATCCATCAGAAAGAAAAACGGAATGCATTGTATTGGGAGACGACGGTAAATGTGGCCATAAACTAGGTGGGAAGAATACAACCAACCTCAAGCGGCACCTGAAGGCTCATCACGCGGATATTTTTTCGAAGGTAACTAACAAGTCACGCTGTTAACATATCATACACATTCAATTTTACTTAACAATTGGCTTGTGACATATTTCATTGTATGCTTAAGGTTTTACATATATCTACTGGTGCAAATTTGCTGCTAACTTCAGGCTAATATTAGCTTGGTTGTGCTAACGTCAATAGCATGTCTGTGTCACTTTTATTTGTTGAACATGCAGGGATTTTGGCCGTGTAGGAAGTGTAAATCGTCATTATGTTAAACTGTTAATTGATTTCAGTGACAGTCTGAAATGTGGAGGGGAAAATTAGCATTTCAGACCGGTTGCTGTTCCTCCCCATACAGAAAAAAAAAAAGATTGAAATATATAATAAGTGTCAAAATATATGTGGCATATATTCCAAATATATTCAATGTGTTAAACCAACGTTTTTATTTATTTAGTAAGTTATTTTGCTTTCCTTAAAGAAAATTGCAGTGTTTACACTATTCAGGGATTGATTTATTAATTTTAATGTTCAATCAACACACTTCAAGTGTCATTTTTGTTTCATACTTCAAGTATGCGTTCCTAACAACCTATGGTCAATGCACCTCTGTATTATTTATTTATATTATTTTGTTTCAGAATGTTTGCAACTTTGCAGTTTGCACAAGTGACAGGGTTGTACGCTGTTTGTGTTTACAAATAATATGCATCTTGATGTTGCACTGGCAGACAAAATGAAGCACAAGTTGTAGAGCTGTATTTGTTCAATAGCTTATATTTTGGGCACGTTGTTCATTGCATTTTAGCAATTTCTCAAATAAAGCAACAATTGCCAAAGTAAGAATGTTTTTATTCCTGCCTTTTTTGGAGTAAAAATTATTTTTTTTAACTAAAATTGACTAAAACTTGACTAAAACCTTTTTGTGTTTTCGTCGACTAAAACTTGACTAAAACTATAAAGTTACAAGTGACTAAAACAAAAAAGCATTTTCGTCCAAAAGACTAAGACTAAGACTAAAACTAAAACGGCTGCCAAAAACAACACTCACTAGGAGTTGCCCGTTTTCGTCAGATTGTCGATGTGTGCGGGGTAGCAACTCATATGCAACGGATATAATCAGTTGCCAGTCCGATGTACGCTAGGCTTAAACAATCAAACACAACACGTAGCTGTAGATCCATTTCCAAAGTTTATTGTCAAAAATCAAATCGTCTGCGCATATGTGCTGCGGTGCCTGCGGTCAAAAACCATGTCGGTCAACCTCATTATCCCTATTCCCCCGCACCTGTCCACTCTATGAAAACTTCTCTTTAGCTTTAAACAAGGAATATTTAAGACTTCTATTTTTTTACATCATAAGTATCAAATGCATTATATTTCAGGATGTATTTAAATAATGATATTACATTTTAGAACTCATTTTAGACTTTTTAGAAATCTTAATATAAACTAAATTACGGCTCTAACATCTCCAGCCCCTAATTATTTTTCATTTTTTTAAGTAAGGGGTGTACATACATTAGGAATGACAAAAATAAAACAGAAATTAACTTAAGCTGAGAAAAAAATAAAAATCAGTTCCTTTAAACATGTTCCATTTTGAGGCTTGCAGGTTTTATTTGTACAATATTATATAGTTGTTTTTCCTTTCATGGTTGGTAGCGGTGGTACATATGGGAGTGCATGGGTGGGAGGGGTATCGTAGGGGGTTTAAGTTATTGATGGAGGCTGAAGAGCTCTGCTATTTGTTTGGTTTTTATAGATTTCTTATTTGAGATGCTTTGAAGTAATTGCAAGTATTGATTTATTTCTATTAATAAGACTTTGAAGTTGGGATTATTGTTGAGAAATTTTGATTTATGAATATGAAATTTTCCGAATGATATGTATAGGTTGACGATGTGTTCAATATCTTTTTGTTTGTGGTGGAATAGGGTGATTATGTCTTGAGGTTGGATATCGATTGCTTGCTTTGTTTTGTGCTTGATAAATATTGCCAGTTTTGTCCAGATTGATTTTGTAAGGGGGCAGTTGAAAAAAAGACGATCTATTGAGTCTTCCTCTGTACAGAATGAACATTTACTGTCAATATCAAAGAACTTAGCAATGTAAAGGTTAGTGGGGTAGATACAGTGGAGAATGTTCCAGTGAATTTCCTTGATTTTATTGTTGATACAGTATTTGGATGGAGATAGCCATGTGCACTTCCAGTTGATGTTTTGGAATGGTGAGTTCCAGTGTGCTTTACATGAAGGTCTTATGTTGTTGGATGCATTTGCGGATCTGATGGTTGGATAGTTTCTTGCTTTTTATGTCAATGCCGTCTACCAGAATAGGGTCTGTGATTATAGTTGCTGCTTGCCTTGGTTGTGCTTTCATTAGCTGGATATAACCAATTGGAATTGCTTCTACAACAATTAAATTGGAAATTGATTATTATTGATGAAGTTTGTGTAACTTGGAATTTTTGCTGTCATGACCCAGCAATATGTTTTTTTCTGATCCAATTGGGAAGAAATAAGGATTTTTTTTGTCTAGATATATTCTCATTGTTCCATACAATGCATTAATGGGGAGAGAAGTTGTGTTTGTAGCATAACTTCCAGGAGAGTAGTTTATGATAGCTTGTTTATGGAAAGCACTGAGCTTTATAGGCAGTTTTGCAACATTATAATTACATTTTAATAAAAACTGCAAACCTCCTACATTTTCAAATATTTTGTTAGGGATGAAGTACTACAGAGAATTTGGATTTGTAATGCATTGTTTGATCCATTTGACCTTAAATGTCTGGTTTAGAGCAGAAAAGTCCAAAGTCTCTAGACCTCCTTCTTCCTTGGGGCTCTAGAGTCCTGTTATTTTTCACTTTGTGTTGCTTGTATTTCCAAATAAAATTCATGAATATTTTATTTATTAATTGACATGTTTTTTCGGTAATGTCCGTAGAAAGGGCGGGATATATGAAGCGGGAAATTCCTTCAGCCTTAAATAAAAGAGTCCTTCCCCAGATTGAAATGTCTCTTTGTGTCCACAAGCTCATAATGGTCTTGGTCTTTTTCATTTTAGGTGTAAAGTTTAGTTCCTCTCTTTCTCTTGTGTTTTTACATATATACATACCCAGATATTTAACTTTTCCTTAACAGTAATATTGCATATATTTCTCTCATTGCAGTCAAATAGAGGTAAGATTTCACATTTAGATATGTTTACCATTAAGCCGGAGGCATCTGAAAAGTCTTTAACAGATTTTATAGCCAGTTCAATCTGATGCTTGTTAGATAGAAACAGGGCTGTGTCATCAGCCAGTTGTGTAATTTTGATTACTTTGCTGAAAATATCGATTCCAATGAGTGGGCTATTTTTTATCTGAATAGAAAGCAGTTTGACCGTTAACAAAAACAGAAATGGGGCGATCGGGCAGCCCTGGCAAACAGACCTTTTTACAGGAAATCTAGCAGTCGTGTTTGGATATAACATGACGGAACTGTCAATGTTATTGTATAGTAATTTAATTATTGTAACAAAGTTGGCCCAAAACCATAACAGTCTAGAGCTTGAAAAAGAAAATGATGTTCAACGGTGTCAAATGCCTTAAAGAAGTCCAGAAATAGGATAAATGCGTCAGTCGATACGTACTCCGAGTAGTCCAGTAAGTCCAGGATGAGTCTAATGTCTGTTCGCCATGAAGCCAGTTTGAGTTTCACCAATGACTTCATGAAGTCCACTTTTTAGTCTTTGAGCAAAAATAGATGCAAATATTTATAATCAACGTTTAGCAGAGTAATTGGCCTCCAATTCTCTATCAACTGGGGGTCTTTTTCAGGTTTGGGAATTAAGCAGATTGTCCCTTGTTTCATTGTGCTTGTCATTTCATTTTTTAATATACAGTGGTTGAACATTTCAAATAAAGGCTGCTCAATTAAACTCCAGAAGTGTTGGTAAAACTCCACTGATATACCGTCATTTCCAGGTTATTTTTTCCTATTTTTAGTGCTTTCACCACATTTCTCATTTCTGTTTTTGTTAACGGTCGCTCACAGTTAAATATAAAATCTTCTGAAATGGTGGGGATGAGATTCTTCATTGAGTTAATAAATGATTTGGAGGCATCAGGTTGAACTTTAGAACAATAAATATCTCTGTAGAAATGCTCGACATATTTGGACAGTACTTTTTGGTAAGACAACACTTTATCTCCTGATTTCAATGAGAGCATATTTCTCTTTTCCAAAGCAAAAAAATAACTGGAGTTTTTTTTCACCCTTCTCTAACCATTTGCTCCGTGATCTTATAAATGCTCCCTTGGCTGTGTCGATATAGAATGTATCAATTTCTTCTTTTAAAAGCTTTAACTTAACTTTCTGTTGACCTTTTTAATTTCTTTACTTCTTTTGGTAGCAACCTCCCTAACTTTGAATTTGTACTAACACTTGTAAACGAAGAAAAGTAAAAAAAAAACGAGTGTGTGCACAAATCTGTGCACACACGCAAACATCAGCCTAAGTACGATAGTAACCACACGGAGAGTAACGTTGTATACATTGGCGCATACGCATTTAGGTACTGCGCAAACCTGTACATACCTTTGAATCATATAATAAACATTTACACACATGAATATGGAACGAGCCAATGTTCATCTTACCGGGAAATCACGATGGTAAATGGCCATCGATAGGTCATCTGTTCATCACTAAACAGGTTTACCGTCAATAAAAGGCACTTGCAGATCTCCTTGTTTTTCGCTGAGAGGTCCTCTTTGAAGTAGAACTTTTTGGTTTTCAAGAAGGTTTTCTTGATCGCTCTGGATATGAATCGGATCATCACAGGCCGTGTTGTCCCTTCCATTCTCCATCCGAGCCTGTGGCAGATGTCCACGAACAGGAGTAGAACGCTCTCGGTCTCCGGGGCAATGGCCCGGCAGATGTCGATGACTATCTTCTTCAGGTCCTCTCCCTCTCGTTCTGGTAATCTATATAAGCACAGGCTCCATTGGCGGTGATATCTCTCCTGCTCTTCGATTCTGTCCTCCAGTTCTTTAATGTGTTTCTGTTGTGTGAGTGATTCACTCTGGAGCATGACAAAACTTTCTTTAACAACATCAATGTCTTTGACGGTGGCTGAGTGGATAGCACTCTCGCCTCTCAGCAAGAAGGTCCTGGGTTCGAATCCCGGTTGGACCAGGGCCTTTCTTAGTGGAGTTTGCATGTTCTCCCCGTGTCTGCGTAGGTTTCCTCCAGGTGCTCCGGTTTCCCCTACCACTAAAAATATGTATAATAGCTCTGGCATGTGCCTCCTGTACTGGCACCCCTATACTCCCCAAAAAAAAAAACTATTGTAAACCGCTTTGAGACTCCGATGTGCAGTGAAAAGGCCGTATATATATAAAGATTACTTACTACTACTTACTTACTTTAAGAAGCTCACAAAGCTGCGAATTAATGTTTATCGCAGCAGTGTTCTGATTGACACTGTCCATGATTTTTCCTGTGTTGAGATTCATTGCTGCCATCAGGTTATCTTGCAGGTCAAGCAATGAGAGGTTGATTTTTTTCTTTCTTGGCGTCAGGTGTGCGTTCAGTGCTCTCTGGTGTGTCTGGCTCATCATTCAGAGTGGCATAAGAATGGTCTTCCAGAACACTTGTGTTGATTCCAATGTCCGATTTACCGGGTTTTCTAACGTCTCTTTGCCTTTTTTTCAGCCATGTTTGCAGCCCAGGTAAAGTCAGGGCGGAAGGGAAGGCTGATAGCGTAATTCAACGTGAATCCTTCAACTATTGTATTTGCTTTGTGATAAAAATGCTCCAACTGATGCGTATATTCCGTTCAAATGCTCATGAATCAGCCCATTCAACTAATGGGCTATATGCACGGGGAGGAGTGACGTCATTTCCTGTTAACGCAGATCAGCCCGTTCACTTCCTGCCTATACTCTCCTATGGCTTTTAGGTACGTTTTAGTGACGTTTTTTAGTAATTAGATTGATACATTCAGCTGAGACTGACCCAAAAGTGTCGCTGTGCTTTCTCTCTGAGGTAGAGCTTTGACTGTGGCCACTCAGAGCGATTAGTTAACTTTATAAAAACACAATGACGGCACAATCAAAGTGCACTGCTGTGTCCCAAAAATGTCAAGGTTAGTCATGTCACGTCTGGTCAAAGTTATGTTTGTGTAGGTTGTTGTAGAATTAAAATGTTGTATACTAATGATTTTCAGTAGGTGTTTGAATACCATGTCTTTGTGCAATATTAAGTCTGGATTTAGTGGAATTCAGACAAGCACCACGGACAAGGCTTCTGTGATAAAAGTATCATTTTCAGAACAGCGTGTCTCTCTTATCGGGACAAGGCCTGACACACTAAAACACATGTGTGGCAATATTGACCTATTGCACTCCCCCAGCCCCCAAGGACGAGGATAGCACACAGGCGCCGCTGAGGGGGGGGGGCACTGTTTGCTATACCTAATATGGAAGAAGACCAAGGCCAGACCAGACTGGGACCGCGAACTGGCTGATACGACACGCCCCTCCTTCCTACACATTATTACTTATATGCTTTGGCTTGAGTTTTTGAGTCAGTTAGCACAGGGATAGATTTAGGGAATTAAGAGCTCCGAGAGTTTTGTATCAATATTTAATTGTAAAGAGAAATAAATGTTCTATTCTTAACTCTTGAATTCTTGATCTTTATTTCTGTATCAAACTTTGAACACGCCAGTCAAATCTTTTTTGACAACAAGGTTCAATGTCCATCTTCATTTTCTAATAGCAAACAGAGTTTGATTATGGGCTGTTGGAGGATACCCGTCTTCGTTTTAATGAGAGCTAATTTTTTACTTCCAGGCTGGGTTTGCAGTACACGGCCTAGGATCCATGAATTCCTAGGAGCAGTGTGATCAACAATGACAACAACATCACCTGGTTGTATATTCCTTTTCACGTTGTTTCATTTGTCCCTTTTCTGCAATATTGGGAGGTTTTCTCTGACCCATCTTCTCCAAAAGAGATCTGCCAAATATTGGACCTGTCTCCATCTTCTCCTGGAGTAAATGTTGCTTTTACAGAAAAGTCCTGGGGGCAAAAAAAGGTTTGTTTCAAGCAGCAGGAGATGGAGTGGTGTAAGCGGTTCCACATCATTTTTGTCATTTGTTACTGTGGTGATGGGCCTGTCATTCATTATGGCTTCTACTTCACAGAGCAACAATACTCATGCAGAGCCTCATCATTCATCACTTGTACCTTGGTAATAGAGCACAATATCCGTTTTAGGGTTCAGATCTCCTCTCTCTCCTAAACACCTCCGTGATAGGCTCCGGCTGCAGGATTAAATGTCCAGTTTATGCATCTTTTTTGGAGTGTTTCACAGATTTTTCCATGATTCAACTTTTCAACACAGTTCCTCTGTGATATATGAATCTTCAGATTGCGTTTATGCATGAGCTTGTGTCCAGACTACTGGCAACAGGAGCCTTGCGGAGTTTGCAATTTTTGTGCTCATGTAGCACCTAGAATACGTGTGTTAGCTTATTTAATTTTGAAGAAATAATTGTCCTTGTGTTAAAGTAACGGTATTACATTGAAATACAATAGTTAACAGGGAGAGCGTGAGATCACAGGTAGCGCGCGCGGCCCTGGTATATAACCAGAGGATTTTGAAAAGCGGGGTGTACTGAAGGACCTGTCTTTGTGATCAGCTGCTGTCTGTTTGTACCTTTCTTTCCGTTGTGTTTTCCAGAGAAAATAAAGAGCTCATTGTTATCTACACCAAGTTGTCAGAGTGGTGTAACACTCACGAACCCCCCTCTGGCCAGAGGTGTAACTGCAGCCTGAATGAGAGGCGCGTGCACGAGGAACAGAACAGAAACAACAGCTGATATGGTCCTGTCCTCGATAAGTTACAGATTTGCGGGATGACTTCAACAGAGGTAAGACATGTTACTGTTTTGTATGATATTTAGACCAAATCAATGTGTATATTTTCCAAGATGTGATACTTCAGCAAATGTAAAGCAAAGTGAATTATTAAAAGCCTGAAGCCACATTATATTCACACAAATGAACATTTCAAAGGGGAACAAAAAAGGTGTCTATTATGTACATATAAACGTAAGCCTAACTGTAATAATACAATTCCACAGATAGAAATGCTTCCATGACAAGCCAAAATCATCTTTTCATTGGGCCTTGTAAGGTTAGCGTAGCATGAGACTTTTTGTAGTATATTTACTACTCATAAACATAAATCAGTGAAGTCAGCCAAGACAAGCTAACATTAGCAACATTATTATTCCCATTGAAAATACAGCATAATTACCACTGTTACTGTTTTGTTTTTATTAGTGTTATTACTGACACTAGTCTGCTACTAATACTACACAAGTTGTCTGTAGGTATAAAACTATCTCAAAACTATCAGTTCTGATAAATTCAAAATATTTTTTGATGAAGTTTGTACAAAACACTCATTCCAGAACATCCATCCATCCATCCATTTTCTACCCTTTAATCCATTTCTGGGTCAGGAGGGTGGCAATCAGAGATGCCACCCAAGTCTCATAGCACCAGCCCCTCCACATTCTAGAACAGTGACATCTAAATCTTTTTGCTTTTCCTTCCAGGACTCCAGTCCAGTTGAATCTGTAGTTTCTGAGAGCAGTGACTTTGAATGGGGGAGAGGAGGAGGCAGACGAGCAGCAGGCAGACGAGCAGCAAGAAGATGAGGAAGAGGAGCAGCAAGATGAGGAAGAGGAGCAGCAAGATGAGGAAGAGGAGCAGCCAGAGGAGAGGCCAGGCTAGAATGAGAAGAGCAGGACATGTGGGTTATAAAGACACCCCTTTATTCGTTCCACAGTAGGGAATTAAAACTAAAATGCAACTCATCACCACTTTAGAAATGAGTCTTTCTTTTATTTCAATGTTTGGGGGAAAAAAATTATATTTGACATAATATAAATAAATGTGTTGTGTCCATCTTTGGTTGCTGTCAGCCTCTGTTCAGGGACCAGATAAAAAAGTCCTAGAAAAAGAAAGAAAAATATTTTATATCATAGAGATTTTTTTTCCACTTGATTATCATCACTACCTGCACTCTGTTGTGTCTGCTCCAGTTCAGCTGCAGGAGGAGGGATGAGGAGGACAGAGGACCCATGGCCCTGGGGTCATGAGCCCCCAGCAGGAGGAGGGATGATGAGGACAGAGGACCCATGGCCCTGGGGTCATGAGTCCCCAGCAGGAGGAGGGATGAGGAGGACAGAGGACCCATGGCCCTGGGGTCATGAGCCCCCAGCAGGAGGAGGGATGAGGAGGACAGAGGACCCATGGCCCTGGGGTCATGAGCCCCCAGCAGGAGGAGGGATGAGGAGGACAGAGGACCCATGGCCCTGGGGTCATGAGCCCCCAGCAGGAGGAGGGATGAGGAGGACAGAGGACCCATGGCCCTGGGGTCATGAGCCCCCAGCAGAGCTGAGGCGCTGGTCTGGGATAGAGCTGTAGTCTTTAGTCTCCTTCACAGTGTAACGCTGAGACTTTTTCTGTTGACATCAGTAGAAATAATATATTTCTTTATTGCTTTTATACTGAATCTTGATAATAAAGTATGACTTACGATACTTGGCCTTTGCTGTTCACATGCACTGGGCGATGGTTATGGAGGTTGTAGTCTAATGCAGCGAGGAGTGTACGAACTTCATCGGCGCCATAAGTAAATCCAAAACGCTTCCCTGCGTACATCAGGACGTGGTTTTGGAAAGATTCAAGCTTCGATGTTGTCCTACAGAACAAAGATTATTGTAACGTCAAACATACAAATAAATTCGATCTCTGTGTAATATAATATACTTTGTAGTATTAAAAAGGCAGTTCCTGTACATTCCCACAAGATGTCACCCTTGACTTACCGAAAGGTGAGCAACTTCTCAATATCCTTCAGCCACCTCCGGTTAAGAACCACGTGGAATGGGCTCTTTGTCCCGTTTATCCTCCAGAGGCGCATATGGTGAAGTGCACCTCTCCACACACCCTAAATGTATACAATACGTTGTATATCAAAAGTTATACCATGTCACCATACAAAGAGAAAATTACATTATCTAGTGACGTTATAAATATCCAATGTTCATACAGACCATAAACTCCTCTCTGGTGCTTGTGTGCTGACAAGCATACCAGAAATGGTGAAAGATGTCCTCGATCCATACAAGTAAAGCCTTTTGACCAGAAACGATTCCAGCCTGATTGAAGACACCACAATTATATTTAAAAAAGTCTTACCAGACCTGTGTTAAATACAATTAAACACTTACGATGTCCATGGTGTCTAGCTCCATCGTTGTGTACGAACAGCACATAGCAGTGACCTTTTTGGAAAAATATATAGATTGCGGGGGAAATAATAATGACAAAAATTTCAATAACAACAAACCGATATTAATGAAATGCCACAGAGCTTTGTGCATTACCTGGAAAGTAGATCCTCCCGTCAGCTAAAACATAAACACAAAAGGCACGTAAACATACATATACACGGGCTTAGAAATTAATATGCTTACTTACCAAGGGCAACAACGTTGTCTTTGGACTCTAATCTGTTGATGATAGCAGTCCTTTTCCCCTCCCAAAACTGCTTTATTGTTTTTAGACAGTAGGTTCCCTGGACTGCAGAAGATGTTGAGGAGGCCACCATGCAGATATTCATGAATTTGAATAAGAGGGAAATATTGGAGAACAACATAAAATCTCCTCCTTGCATAACTCCATAAACTCCATAATTTATGGCCGTGCGGTCAAAACTATATGGGGAAGAAAGTGTTAACAAGTATGTAACTTCACACATATACCATATTTGTACTTAGTCTGGTAAACACATGTGCAAACCATGTAAACTCACCCACTCCAATATCAAAGATGTACCTCGGGCATGTGACTTTACAGAAAAGGGTGGACGGCCGTCACACTCTGTGCCTGTGTGGTCACTGTAGTGGCATTTATTGACAGTTGGAGGAAAGTTGCCATCTGCAGAGGTGTTTGTTGTATGCTATGCATGCTTGCTGGTTTACAAGGTCACTTTCAACAACCACTCGATATGGTTTTGGGAAAATGGGAATGGTGGCTGCTGCCTCTTCTTCAAGATCTGCTTTTTGACATTCCTCAACACAGTCAGCACTGTCTAATATAGATTCTTCCAGCCCAATGCAAGGAAGTTTGTCGACCATATCCTGCGATGCACCGCTATTTTACAAGACAAATGAAATTTATGCTATCAGTGAGTGAAAAGTAAGAGATAAGAAAATTAAAAAAAATGTACATACCGTAATGAGATTGGTGGCACATAATCTGAATCATACGGGTCTGAAACTTCCCCTTCACACTCTATTCTGGAATTAAAAAAAGAACAGTCCAATATGTAAATTATGTACCAACATATACACATTGAATTACATAGAGAATAACGTACAATTTACACACTGTTTTCAAGATTATTGGCTTGCTCCCCATCTAAAGCGTCATCATTCAGCTCAATTGATTTGCTGCTTCACAATAAAAGACATTTTACATTCCTTACAAAAAAACAGTATTTATCAAATGATAAAATTCATGCATGTTTACCTTTTCTCCAACGATTGTAACCTATTTGCTGTCAGAGGTTCAACTCCTGTGATATGAACGTCTTCCCAGTAGGACAAAAGACTTTTGTTGACGGTGGATGAGTGGTAACCTGAAAACAGAAGTTGCATTTGGCAAACTTACCTCAGATTCTGGGGGGATCTGGGGAGATGGGGCCCCAGCAACACCTTAGCTGATGGGCCATGGGGTGTGGACGTGAGTGATCCCTTTGATAGTGTGCCTCTCAAAACTAGAACAATAGAGCCACTGTTACTGCTAACGATGGCAATATCAAGTATTGCAATGAGGCAATTACAATAACACAGCACATGTTTAGAAAAGTCAACACGCTCTACATCTAACTAGTTACTATTGCGATTGCAATGTACATACATTTAAACGGGAACATGTTCGTAACCCTCTCATTCTTAGCTAAACAACGAGAGCTTTGCTGAAGCTGTAGGTGGTTTAGTTCTAAAAAAGAAAAAGCCCTGTTTGTAAACAAACTTAGCCTTGCCAGCTAATGCTAGCTAGTGTGTTAGTTTCACGCAGAGATCTTGCTAGAACTGTGTATTACAGATAGTATTTTGAGAAGGACCCATCATTGTCTCGCTCTGAGCTCTTTCCACAAATAAAAACTTAGTTGCAGACAAAAATAGTATTTCTCTAAGTAGCTTGCGATGCACGGACACCGCTGCTTTGAAAGCATAAACATATGTGTTTAGAGATGTCGTCTTACCTTTCAAGCAGAAATGATTCCAACTGTGGGTCTTTTCTCATGCACTGAGATTCTCTCAGAGTTTTCCACCTCTCAAAAACAACTCCAATGTTTACCCCATGGTTTACCCTCGTTTGTTGCCTACTGCGGTCAGACTCGAGTTCCGCCCTTTTGGTCGCACTAGAAACAATTCTGTGTTTCTTTGCTTTAGTTTGGGTCTTTGCTGGAGTTTCGGCGCTGCTTGAAGCTCTTGTTGTTCTTCGCTGTATCCATCCTCCCACAGTCACCTCTCGCTCTGCAGCTTCACTAATGGCTGCTACAGCTAGCGCGGCTACAGCTAATGCGGCTACAGCTTAGCGTGATCGCGCATGACGTCATTACGCATTACGCTGCCCCTGGATGGTTTCGACCCGAATCCTCAAATTCCAAGCATATAAAGACATGTTTTTAGGCATACAGAGGCAATTGCAGTGAAAATGCCAGGGCTCATTCTACACACCAAGGCATTGCTGGAGAATGTATGTGGAAGAAATTTTAATTCTGTATAGTTGTATAAGTGGTGAAACTTCCATATAGCCTCTTTAAGCGTTTGAAGTGGTTTGCTGCATGAAAATCACTTTTACCACAGAATCAGTTTAAATACATAGAATCACAGTTGTTTGACCCCAGTTTGCAATTCATGATGTTTCTGGCCTGTTTTAAGCGTTTCAAGTGGTTTTCTTCATGAATTTCACATTTCCACTAGAATCAGTTCAAATACATAGAATCACAGTTGTTGGATGCCAGATGCAATTCATGATGTTTCTGGCCTGTTTTAAGCGTTTCAAGTGGTTTGCTGCATGAATTTCATGAAAAATGTGATTTTCGTCTCTTTTCGGCCTTGTATATTACTGAGAAACTTCTGGACAGAGCAGTCGCATTCTCTTGCTGCTCCTCGCTTGCTGCTTTTTTATCTCCTTTAATCATTTTTGCTTACATTTTTATTCCACAAAACCCGGATTACTCCTTTTTACAAACTTCAACACAAGACTGGTGGAATTTACCTAACTTACAGCATGTCGGGAGGACGGGAAAATAGAACAAAACTTTGCGACGGCTGTTTTTCACTCAAACAGGAGTTAAACTTCTTCAAGACCGAATGTTTGTGCTTGAATCAGAATTGGGGCTGAACACAACAATACCAGTGAAAGGAAATGGACCAAATGGACAGAACGTAAGTTATGATGACGCTATTTCATTTCCCAAAATCAACAGAGACAATTGTTGGAACACATATGGCGCCAAGCCCAAACAAGGCAAAGCTAATGATAACAAGAGTGTCATAATGCCACAGCAAAAATCTTTAATTACAAGAAACCGCTTTTCACCACTTTTGGAAGATGAATCAGCAGTAGCCTCTCAGTCCCAGTCTCAGTCTCAGTCAAGGTCAAATGCAGCTGAGTCACTCTTTATCGGGGATTCGGCGATAAGAAATGTAAATATGCGTAATCTCAAGGTTCACTCAGTACACTCTGCTAAAGTGGATGAGATAAGGCGGTTGGCTCCGAGGCTTCTGTCTGAGACCGGCGGGGTAAAAAGATTGTTGATCCACGTGGGGGCAGTAGACGTCTATGACAACACAAGTGAAAAGTTGAAACGGGATTACTCTCTCTTATTGGACGACCTTGCTAAAATGGACACAAAAATCGTTATCAGTGGCCCACTACCAAATGTGGACGGGAAGCAAATGAAATTCAGTCGTCTGTATCAGCTAAATACTTTCCTACTCAACGAATGTTCACGCAGAGGACTTGCCTTCATTGAGAATTTTAATCTGTTCTGGAATAGGCATGAGCTTTTTGAAGGGAAAGGGCCACATCTGAACACTTACGGAGTAAAAGTGTTGATGGATAACCTTTCTTTTGCCCTGAGACCTCAGCCTGCGCAGCGCGTGCAGCCATCGAAAGGGAGGAAGCCAACTCCAAAAGTCTCTGCACCTCCACCACCTCGAAGGATCTCAACACCACCACCACCTCGAAGGATCTCAACACCATCACCGCCTCAAAGGATCTCAACACCACCACCACCTCGAAGGATCTCAACACCTCCACTGTCATCAGAAGCAGCTGCATCATCACCAGCAGCAGCTGCATCATCACCAGCAGCAGCTGCATCATCACCAGTAGCAGCACCAGCAGCACGACCACCACCACCAACATCCTCATCCCCAGCCTGCTCCAAAGCAGCCACGCCTTCTTCATCTACAGCGCCTCTGAAGCCCCCATCCTCACCCCAGCCTACAGCAGACAGGCCTGTGCTGGGGTTTCCTCAACCACCTGCCCCTCCATCAAAGACTCCCTCGCCACCTCCCATGGACCTGTCTTGGGTCCCCCCTGCCACGTCCACTCCATCAAGAGAGAATGGGGACACCTCCCTTTGTTTTTCATCCCCGCCTTCACTGTTAGACCTACCTGAACACTCTGCAGGGCTAATAAAATCGGCGATGAAGACTATTCCTCTCACACCCATATTAGCTCGATCTAGAGTCCTGTCCAACATGCTAAACCACTCCCCATATGTACCTCCAAAACCACCTAGGGTTTCCAATTCACCTACAAAAACCAACTCAGCCAGTCCCTCCCCTAACCTCATGACCATTCCACCCCCACTTCCCCCTCGTTCAACACCCCGGCCCTAACCCATCACCTAAAACCCCTCCACCTCCCTGCCCCCCTCGTTCAACACCCAAAAGCCACCCACCTCTCCATCCTCCTCCCCTGCCTTCCCCTTCCCCTCTTTTCTCTAAACACTAGGATGCACAGGGTCTCTACTTCGCAGCCACTGGCAGTCTAGTTAGAGGAGAGACCCGGCTGGGGCCCTGTCATGAAGCCACCTGTGCCATTCCCTTAGTGATAACACAAAGAATACATTACAGAAAAACATCTGGAGTTAATCAGTCTAATCTGGAAAATCTAATTCTTGTTCCGTATAAGAATCAGCCGACCGCAACCGCTGATACTGAAACTTTGAAACTTGCTACGCTTAATGTCAGATCTCTTTGTAACAAGTCTTTTTTAATCAATAATTTTATTTGTTCTCATAATCTTGATCTTATGTTCATGGCTGAAACTTGGCTTGACCAAAATTCAGAAAATGCAGTTTTAATAGAAGCATCACCACCAAATTTCAAGTTTGAATCTGAAATACGGGAAAACAAAAAAGGAGGAGGCTTAGCTGCCTTTTCGTTGTATATATTAGAATTGTAGTAAGATTTGTTTTATGCATGCCTTTATGTTGATGTTTTACTTGTTTGCATCATAAATCAAAGAACATTCCTAGTTTGCAACTCCCTACTTCTTAAAATAGAAATAGAAATAATTCATTTTTCAGATTTTACTGACTAATTGTCTCCCCTTACCCTTTTGTTAGGCTGAGTTTACACGGAGACAATGTGACAGTAAAACGGTATAGTTGGATGTCGGTTGCTACCAACCGTTCATACGAAGACAGTGTTCCAGGGGGGTGAAAACGTAAGTGTTCACATCCAGCCTGCAGAGTGGGACAACTCAGAAACGCTGCACAGCAGGGAGCTTTTTCACACCCGCGAGAGGGAAAAAGGTGTAAAATCCCCCTCTGCTCTGACCCCCGCCTCCGCACTGCTCCCCGCACGTAAATTTGGACATGCGCAGTAGCGGAGAACAAACATCAACAACAATGGCGCCGCCCGCACAAACTAGCTACGTGGGCTTCCAGGCGGGACAGAGGATAGCTCTACTCCTTCGTTCGTCCAAACGAGACCACGCGAAAGCTCTAGGTTCAGTTCCCATGTTCACAGCTGCTGTTAAAATGCAGAATGATGTTGGTACTCTCTGAGGGTCTGGCACAGGAAGTGAGTATACTGCCGAGAGGGGGGCTGGGCAACGGGGCTGGGGGTCGTGTGAGTGTTGTAAAGTTTATTCTGCCCACTACTGGCCGGGCGCTAGAACTAACATCGTTTTTCAACCTCATGTGAACGCTGAGAAATTTGCATTAGGAGGCCTGGTTGTTTCTGTTAATAGCCTGGAAACGTCTGCGCAGCGTCTCAGTATAAACAGGGCCTAAGTCTTAAAGACAACCACAAATTCTTTCAAGAGCAGAGGTGTCAAACCGGTTCCAGAAAGGGTTGGTGTGGTCGCACGTTTTAGTTCCAACCTTAGCAGGACCTGACCAGACTCCACCCAATCACTCAGGTACAGCCAACCCAGCCCTTTGAGGACCGGTTTAACACTCCTGCAGGATAGTGTGTTACAGATACACGGAGCAGAGAGGATTCACGGTCCGAACCAAGTGGATCAGATGAAAATCCATTGCTAATGAAGCATTCAGCATTTTACTTTGGACTAGAGCAAGAAAATGCTCCAAACCAAGCAGCTACTCCAGCTTTTGACCCGTCCTGCTCCACCAAGACGCTTCTCCATCTCTGCTTCTGTAACCCATCCTTCTCCACCTCTGCTGCTGTGACCCGTCCTGCTCCACCCAGAGGCTACTCCTCCTCTGTTGCTGTGACCCTTCCTGCCCCACCCAGAGGCTACTCCACCTCTTTTGCGGTGACCCGTCCTGCTCCACGGCTACTCCACCTCTGCCGCTGTGACATGAAGGGCTGTTGTTGATTATTTCTATTGTTAGCTTTTTTGAATTTTATTTTCTATTTTTGCTGCTGCTGGAAACCTGAATTTCCCCAATGGAGATTAATAAAGTATCTATCTAACTATCTACAGTATTCGCCCCCCTTGAACCTTTCAACATTTCGGCACATTTCAGGCTTCAAGCATAAAGATATAACATTTTAATTTTTTGTCATGAATCAACAACAAGTGGAACACAATTGTGAAGTGGAACGAAATTTATTGGATAATTTAAACTTTTTCAACAAATAAAAACGGAAAAGTGGGGCGTTCAATATTATTCGGCCCCTTTACTTTCAGTGCAGCAAACTCACTCCAGAAGTTCAGTGAGGATCTTTGAATGATCCAATGTTGTCCTAAATGACTGATGATGATAAATAGAATGCACCTGTGTGTAATCAAGTCTCCGTATAAATGCACCTGCTCTTTGATAGTCTCAGGGTTCTGTTTAAAGCGCAGAGAGAACCATGAAGACAAAGGAACACACCAGGCAGGTCTGAGATACTGTTCTGGAGAAGTTTAAAGCCGGATTTGGATACAAAAAGATTTTCCAAGCTTTAAACATCTCAAGGAGCACTGTGCAAGCAATTATATTGAAATGGAAGGAGTATCAGACCACTGCAAATCTACCAAGATAACTACAGCTGAGGTGGGAGAGTCTGTCCATAGGACAACAATCAGTCGTGCACTGCACAAATCTGGCCTTTATGGAAGAGTGGCAAGGAGAAAGCCATTTCTCAAAGATATCCATAAAAAGTCTCGTTTAAAGTTTGCCACAAGCCACCTGGGAGACACACCAAACATGTGGAAGAAGGTGCTCTTTTTGTGGCCAACTTTTTGGCCACAATGCAAAACGATATGTTTGGCGTAAAAGCAACACAGCTCATCACCCTGAACACACCATCCCCACTGTCAAACATGGTGGTGGCAGCATCATGGTTTGGGCCTGCTTTTCTTCAGCAGGGACAGGGAAGATGGCTAAAATTGATGGGAAGATGGATGGAGCCAAATACAGGACCATTCTGGAAGAAAACCTGTTGGAGTCTGCAAAAGACCTGAGACTGGGACGGAGATTTATCTTCCAACAGGACAATGATCCAAAACATAAAGCCAAATGGTTCACAAATAGACGTATCCAGGTGATAGAATGGCCCAGTCAAAGTCCAGAACTGGATCCTATCGAGAATCTGTGGAAAGAGCTGAAGACTACTGTTCACAAACAGTTCTCTCCATCCAACCTCACTGAGCTCGAGCTGTTTTGCAAGGAAGAATGGGAAAGAATTCCAGTCTCTCGATGTGCAAAACTGATAGAGACATACCCCAAGCGACTTGCAGCTGTAACTGCAGCAAAAGGTGGCGCTACAAAGTATTAGCGCAAGGGGGCCGAATAATATTGCACGCTCCACTTTTCAGTTTTTTATTTGTTAAAAAAGTTTAAATTATCCAATAAATTTCGTTGCACTTCACTATTGTGTCCCACTTGTTGATTCTTGACAAAAAATGTAATTTTTATATCTTTATGTTTGAAGCCTGAAATGTGGCGAAATGTTGAAAGGTTCAAGGGGCCGAATACTTTCGCAAGGCAATGTATATATAGCATTGTGTTATTGCTGATTCAGTTTCCCTGGATAAAAGCACACAGTTTCCCTGGATAAAAGAACACAATCTCCAGTGGAAGATATTGTGTCTATTTGTCTGGTTAAATTCAGTTGGTAGAAATGAGGAAACAACTTGTGATTTTCTCTCAGCTTCCATCTAGCCGCTTCCAGTTTGTTTCGTGGCATCATCTGGAGCACTGCGATGTGACCGGGGACCAGCTGAGCTGCCCCAGAGTCAGAGAAGGCCAGTTATCCTGCATAGAGACTTTCATATGTACAGTTGCTAATACAGACCATTTGATTGACGTGTGCTCATCTCTATGTAGGTCCATCTCAAGACCTATTTGACAGAGGGGGACATGAAGTGTCTTTGGAGGGAACAGCTTGTAGAGGGAGAGAAGCAGAAGCCCAGAGCTGGGAGAAAAGAGTGCAGGAGAACTGGGAAAATTGTGTGGTTTGTACACAGCGGTACACTTGACAATTGTTGAATATGAAGGAACAAAGTAACAGTCTTCTTGTGTTTGTCTTGTGTCAGGAGTTGAACCTGTCCTACCAGAATTTAGGCGATCCATATCAGAGAGAGAACTTCATCCGCATTCTCCGAAGGCTCATCCGCGTGGAGAAATTACAACTGGTCGACAATTCCCTCACAGACCTAAGCTCAGTAAGACTGCCAAGGTAAAGACACCAGAAATTAATGAATGAATCCAAGAACAGGTCACAGCAGCAGAGGTGTAGCTGCTTGGTTTGGACAATTTTCTCTGCTCTGGTGTGAATCAGTGTAAAACCCTGAGCACTGCACTGCAGTAACATTTACAGGTAGAAAGAAAACAGCTATTGTAAAGCACAAAACAACACCTGTTTCAAAACAACTTCGGATCTGCTGCCGTTTCCAGTGCATTCAAAAGTAGTTTGAAATACATCATTCCACTTGTTTACCTTTTTATGTAATATAGAAACATTTTATAATCGTTCATGAGAATTAGGGGAGGGGACGACCGGGATATTTATGGACATTAGTTAACCTGTTATTTGGGCCAAAGACATTTAGGTGAGTCTAAATGTGACTTTCCAATCTCTTTTCCAATTGTATGACCCCCTTATGAGACAGCTGCTGTTGTGATGTTTGGCAATACAAATATACATTGAATTCATTTCAAATGATTTATTCTATATGGGACAAATACTGTATAGTACAACCAGTTGTGTACACTTTAATATGAGTTTGGGTGTGCGTGGGTTGTGTGTGTGTGTGTATGTGTGCATATGTGTGTGCATGTGTGTGTGTGTGCGCTTGTGTGTAATTGTATGTGTGTGTGTGTCCAGGTGCCAAACCCTGAACCTGCAGCGGAACCATCTAGTGAGCCTGTGTCTGCTGCCAAAGCTCCCGGCTGCGGAGCACCTGTGTCTGTCGGACAACGCCATCTCCTCCCTGTGTGGCCTGGGGGCTATGGAGAACAGCCCCCTCAGGTCCCTCAGCCTCAGCTGCAACCCTGTAACCTTCAGCCCCCAGTACCGCGCCCGGTCAGAAGACTTTTAAAAAAAAACTTTTTCATCAAATGTAGCCAAATATATCAGACTCCATGGATACTGACAAACACAATACCTCCTGTCAAGCAGATGAAAAAACTCATTTCTTATCTTATTATAACATTGTTCAAATGTTGGTCTAATTATTATATTTCAGGTATATATATATATATACATATATATATATATATATATATATATATATAATTTGTGATTTGAAAGATAACTTTTGTTTTAAAGTCTTTATTTTAATTGTAATTTCAATTCTCCTGTTCCCTGTTTTTGAATGAATTAAAGAATTAAAACACTTGCCCTGTAGTAGACAAAGTACAGAGGAAAGCCATGGTGGTGATAATTTTCCTTTTTTTAAGGGCAATAATGTGATTAAAATACAATACTTACCAGACATAAATTGCTCCAGCTAAACTTTACTAATACGCTTACATTTTGTCCTGCAGGGTTTTCTCATTGTTGCCAAAGCTGCAGGTGCTGGATGGCATTCCAAAGCTGCCAGAAGACTGTGTGCCATGTCCAGCCCTGACCTCAGCCACCACCTCCATGTGCAAGATTTTATAAGCTTGAATTATGCAAATCTACCACATTTTTTTGTAAAGGTGACATTGGTAATTTTATACAGAAGTTTGTATGAATAAATTAGTGAAAAAATGTTTTGTGTTGTTTAATATGCTTAGCAATATTGGGGTTGGAGTGGGTATGTTAAAGCTTGTTTTCTTTCACAAATAATACATGTTTCTTACAACAAAAGACCCCACCCTAAGAATATTGTAAAATTGTGAACAAGTCAAAACTAGATCTAAAGATCTGTAGTCTTCGTCACTGGCTGGCTACGAAAGGGTGATCTTCTCTTTTCACTTATTTGTCTGAAAAGCTGATCTAAAGAAGAACTATTGGTAACACTTTACATTACGGGCCGGTAAGTCCATGGTACTTACAGTGGTACTTCTAGGTACTTACAGTGGTACTTCTAGGTACTTACAGTGGTACTTACGGTGGTACTTACGGTGGTACTTACGGTGGTACTTACGGTGGTACTTACGGTGGTACTTACGGTGGTACTTACAGGGGTACTTACGGTGGTACTTACGGTGGTACTTACGGTGGTACTTACAGTGGTACTTACAGTGGTACTTACAGTGGTACTTACAGTGGTACTTCTAGGTACTTACAGTGGTACTTCTAGGTACTTACAGTGGTACTTACGGTGGTACTTACGGTGGTACTTACGGTGGTACTTACGGTGGTACTTACGGTGGTACTTACGGTGGTACTTACGGTGGTACTTACAGTGGTACTTACAGTGGTACTTACAGTGGTACTTACAGTGGTACTTCTAGGTACTTACAGTGGTACTTACGGTGGTACTTACGGTGGTACTTACGGTGGTACTTACGGTGGTACTTACGGTGGTACTTACGGTGGTACTTACAGTGGTACTTACAGTGGTACTTCTAGGTACTTCTAGGTACTTACAGTGGTACTTCTAGTGGTACTTCTAGGTACTTATTGTGGTACTTACAGTGGTACTTCTAGGTACTTACAGTGGTACTTAGAGGTACTTATTGTGGTACTTACAGTGGTACTTCTAGGTACTTATTGTGATAATTCTAGATACAGCTGTAACTTAGTAATTCAAGGACACTACAGTATTATTCCTATGTAGTAAATGTGGTACTTCTACATACATACATACAGAGGTCATTTGTAGGATTGTTTGACTATAAAACATAAAACAACATTATGTAAAACAAACGTCTTTATTAATATGGAATAAGTAGCACAGAAAGGACAGTATAAATACATTTAATGCATATTTCAAAACAAGTTTCAAGGACAAGGGAAACACTGCAAGAACTAGGTACCCAACCCAAGTAACAAGAATTACACATTACCAGGTACTTACCAGCCAAGTACCAGGTACTTACCAGCAAGTACCAGGTACTTACCAGCAAGTACCAGGTACTTAACAGCAAGTACCAGGTACTTAACAGCAAGTACCAGGTACTTACCATAGGGACTGGCCCATAATAAGACAAAGGACTTTAACATAAGTACCAGTGATAACACCAGTAATTATACAGTAAGTACCAGGTACTTACCATAGGGACTGGCCCATAATAAGACAAAGGACTTTAACATAAGTACCAGTGATAACAACCAGTAATTATATAGTAAGTACCAGGTACTTACCATAGGAACTGGCCCATAATAAGACAAAGGACTTACCCATAAGTACTAGTGATACCAGTAATTATATAGTATACCATGTACTTACCAGCAAGTACCATGTACTTACCAGCAAGTACCAGGTACTTACCATAGGGACTGGCCCATAATAAGACAAAGGACTTTAACATAAGTACCAGTGATAACACCAGTAATTATACAGTAAGTACCAGGTACTTACCATAGGGACTGGCCCATAATAAGACAAAGGACTTTAACATAAGTACCAGTGATAACACCAGTAATTATATAGTAAGTACCAGGTACTTACCATAGGAACTGGCCCATAATAAGACAAAGGACTTACCCATAAGTACTAGTGATACCAGTAATTATATAGTATACCTTGTACTTACCAGCAAGTACCAGGTACTTACCAGCAAGTACCAGGTACTTACCAGCAAGTACCAGGTACTTACCAGCAAGTACCAGGTACTTACCAGCAAGTACCAGGTACTTACCAGCAAGTACCAGGTACTTAACAGCAAGTACCAGGTACTTACCAGCAAGTACCAGGTACTTGCTGGTAAGTACATGGTATACTATATAATTACTGGTATCACTAGTACTTATGGGTAAGTCCTTTGTCTTATTATGGGCCAGTTCCTATGGTAAGTACCTGGTACTTACTATATAATTACTGGTGTTATCACTGGTACTTATGTTAAAGTCCTTTGTCTTATTATGGGCCAGTCCCTATGGTAAGTACCTGGTACTTACTGTATAATTACTGGTGTTATCACTGGTACTTATGTTAAAGTCCTTTGTCTTATTATGGGCCAGTCCCTATGGTAAGTACCTGGTACTTGCTGGTAAGTACCTGGTACTTGCTGTTAAGTACCTGGTACTTGCTGGTAAGTACCTGGTACTTGCTGGTAAGTACCTGGTACTTGCTGGTAAGTACCTGGTACTTGCTGGTAAGTACCTGGTACTTGCTGGTAAGTACCTGGTACTTGGCTGGTAAGTACCTGGTACTTGCTGGTAAGTACCTGGTACTTGCTGGTAAGTACATGGTACTTGCTGGTAAGTACATGGTATACTATATAATTACTGGTATCACTAGTACTTATGGGTAAGTCCTTTGTCTTATTATGGGCCAGTTCCTATGGTAAGTACCTGGTACTTACTATATAATTACTGGTGTTATCACTGGTACTTATGTTAAAGTCCTTTGTCTTATTATGGGCCAGTCCCTATGGTAAGTACCTGGTACTTACTGTATAATTACTGGTGTTATCACTGGTACTTATGTTAAAGTCCTTTGTCTTATTATGGGCCGGTCCCTATGGTAAGTACCTGGTACTTGCTGTTAAGTACCTGGTACTTGCTGTTAAGTACCTGGTACTTGCTGGTAAGTACCTGGTACTTGGCTGGTAAGTACCTGGTAATGTGTAATTCTTGTTACTTGGGTTGGGTACCTAGTTCTTGCAGTGTTTCCCTTGTCCTTGAAACTTGTTTTGAAATATGCATTAAATGTATTTATACTGTCCTTTCTGTGCTACTTATTCCATATTAATAAAGACGTTTGTTTTACATAATGTTGTTTTATGTTTTATAGTCAAACAATCCTACAAATGACCTCTGTATGTATGTATGTAGAAGTACCACATTTACTACATAGGAATAATACTGTAGTGTCCTTGAATTACTAAGTTACAGCTGTATCTAGAATTATCACAATAAGTACCTAGAAGTACCACTGTAAGTACCACAATAAGTACCTCTAAGTACCACTGTAAGTACCTAGAAGTACCACTGTAAGTACCACAATAAGTACCTAGAAGTACCACTAGAAGTACCACTGTAAGTACCTAGAAGTACCTAGAAGTACCACTGTAAGTACCACTGTAAGTACCACTGTAAGTACCACTGTAAGTACCACCGTAAGTACCACCGTAAGTACCACCGTAAGTACCCCTGTAAGTACCACCGTAAGTACCACCGTAAGTACCACCGTAAGTACCACTGTAAGTACCTAGAAGTACCACTGTAAGTACCTAGAAGTACCACTGTAAGTACCACTGTAAGTACCACTGTAAGTACCACCGTAAGTACCACCGTAAGTACCACCGTAAGTACCACCGTAAGTACCCCTGTAAGTACCACCGTAAGTACCACCGTAAGTACCACCGTAAGTACCACCGTAAGTACCACGTAAGTACCACTGTAAGTACCTAGAAGTACCACTGTAAGTACCTAGAAGTACCACTGTAAGTACCACTGTAAGTACCACTGTAAGTCGTAAGTACCACCGTAAGTACCCCTGTAAGTACCACCGTAAGTACCACCGTAAGTACCACCGTAAGTACCACTGTAAGTACCTAGAAGTACCACTGTAAGTACCTAGAAGTACCACTGTAAGTACCACTGTAAGTACCACTGTAAGTACCACTGTAAGTACCACCGTAAGTACCACCGTAAGTACCACCGTAAGTACCCCTGTAAGTACCACCGTAAGTACCACCGTAAGTACCACCGTAAGTACCACCGTAAGTACCACCGTAAGTACCTAGAAGTACCACTGTAAGTACCTAGAAGTACCACTGTAAGTACCATGGACTTACCGGCCCGTAATGTAAAGTGTTACCGAACTATTGAACCAAACTGTTACGAGAGCAAGGAACTGATGAATGTCAATACATTATTTGTTGTTTGAAATGTAGTTACCCCACCTTTAAATAAAAAAACTTAAAGGAGTTATACCCGTTTCTGCAACGTTTTTTTTCAGTTTGAATGTTTAGCACCGCCCCCCCAACTCGCTCACTGGATTCTCATTTCCCCTACGCTCTCCTCCCACGAAGCCATCTAGTTTTATTTGCGATCTGATACGTATGGAAACATAAGCATTAGCGCAACTTCTTGTAAGCTGTACAGCAATCACTGATGAAATGGTACAAAAGCAACGCACTGCTAACAAAATATTTAACTGAAAGATTACCGCTAGTTTTGCTTCCAAATGTAGTCCGAGGCGGTCCCGCACCCGCAGGTCTCTCCAGCGAGGATACAACGTAAGCTAGCTATGTTCACCGGGGCTTGATTTCTTCTTGGATCATTTTATCGCATTAGTCCCTCTTCTTTTCGTCACTGTTGTGTAGTTTGGGCTGTTTTGCTGTGTATGCAGTTACAGCCAGAGGAAGTATAGCCACGTCCTGCTGCCATGCGGCTCTTGTTTACCAGCGCTGTAAATGCTAGAGGAGGATGCGTGTTTGTAACAGCACCGCTCCTCGTTCTGTGAATGGAGGCGAGCTAGCGTCAGTTTCTACTCAGCACTTTTTTATGGCTTGAATTCATACACAATGAGCTCAAGTTTTCAATTCAATTACAGATTTTAA